AGGGTGTAGGGTTTAGGGTTCGGGCTGGGGTTAAGGTTTAGGGTTTCTGTTTAGGGCTCACGAGGATGTAAGGGCTATGGAGTTGGGGCTTCGAGGGTCCAGGAGTCTAGGGGTATGCTTCGTCACACCCTTGGGAGACACTTGGCAACCGCGCTTGGCATGAAGGAGTGAAGCCAAGGTGAGGAGCGGGGCCTGGGGCCGAAACCCTTAAAAACACCTTATACACCAAGAAACCCTAAACCCTAAACTCCAAGAGCATGGCCTCTGGACCCCTGAATCCTGGAATCCTGACCAGCACCAGGTGATGCTGGCTTTGGAGCACGCCGAAGGGAGGGACAAAAAGATTCAGCATCACCTCCGAACCTTGGACACGCTCTACCACGTTTTGGAGGCCTTTTCGCCGGGGGTTTAGGAGCTCAGGGTTTGGGTTTAGGGTTGAGGGCCCAGGGTTTAGAGGCTTAGAGCTTTTTTTAGGGGTTGGGAAAGATCCCTGGCCCTAGGTTCAAATTTCTTCGCCAGCTTCGGTATGTTTTTAGATGATTCGATGACGCCCACAACGAGGATGAGGATGATCATGAGGATAGGTATGACGATGATCGAGGTGATGATGGTGATGATGGCAAGAGCGAAGATCGGGAACATCACCATGGTGGTGGTCGTCGTGGTCATCGCTGTCGTTTTCGTCGTCCGTCCTCGTCCTCCGCGCCATCAGCGTCCTTGTCGTTGTTGTCGTCGTCGGTCGTCACGACTTTTGCTGTGTCGGTGCCAGTCTTCGTGCAAGTACCACTGCTAGCACTACTGCTCTTGCCGCGCAGCTCCACGTGCTGCTGCTGCTGCGGCTGCTGCTTCGACGATCTTCGACGGCTGCTACTGTGGCAAATCCTTTTCGAGCACACTTTCTGCTTCTCGATCGTTGAAGGTCAAGAAGTTTAACCGCATTATCCACATGAAGACAGCGAACAAAGTGTCCTGCGCTTTCAACGTCGTGGAGGCAGGGGGCAGCATTTGAGGGCTCGGTGGCCGGCTGAAGCCTGGGAGGGTGGCAGAAGCCCTGCACTCCTCAGCGCCGGTTGTTTTGGGTTTAGGGTTTGGGGTTTAGGGTTGTGATCTTAAGCCCAACCACCCGCACCCTTCCGAATCAGTCTGGAAGCGGCTCGCACTGCCTGAGCGGTTGAATTTCATGAATCTCCGAATCTGCACACAGAGGACCTGGCAGGAGCCTGCTACACCCTCGACTCTCGACCCAAAGCCGACCAGACTACTCTACGCCAAGAGCGATTTACTTCCAAGAGCGGGTTGAGGGTATTGAGCCCGAACCCCCTAAACAATTTTGAGCCATAAAGGCGTTCTTCAGCGCCATGGCCTTCGGGGACGACATCAATGGGATGATACGGACCTGTCCGCCACCTCGCCCTCCGCGATCCGAGTACGCCTGCCAGGTACCGGGGTTCAAAGGGTTTAGGCTGATGTAGGCTTAGTTCTGTGTTGGGTTTCTGGGGCCTGGGGCTTCTAGAAATAAGGGGCTTGGGGCTGAGGCTTAGGGTTGGGTGCTCAGGGGGTGTGGGTGTGGGGTTCAGGGGTTTGACCTGGGATGAGAGGCTTCATGAGTGGGAGTTTGGGAGTTCCACGGACACTCGGAAGGTTTTGCCGTGCTTTAACTGGTCGTATGCTTGGCTTGTCACAGCTGCAGAAAAAAGAACCAGGGCCCAACAAATCAGACAGTGACGTAAACACCAAATCATAGACAAACAGCGGGATTCTGCAATTGAGAGGCAGAGCGGGGGAAAGAGAGATGAGTAGGAGACAGAGAGAAAACCAGAGAACGAGATACAGAAGAGGGAACAAGATGCAGAGGCGGACAGCAAGACAGACAGAACCATGGAGGAGACAGAGACATGGAGAGACAAGGAGCGACAAAGGAGACAGAAGAGAGTGCGCGAGCGAAAGAGAATGGCAAATCAACAAATGCAGACTCAGACACAAGACATGCTCTGCTTCGAGCCTTCCTCATCCTCCGAAGCCTCTCCTACATTAGTGCTGCTAGCTCCTCCTGCTACTACTGCTACTAC